GGCCAAGCAGGCCCGGCCCCTGCCGAACGGAGTTGCCGGCGCAGCGAAGTGGAGCCGGCAACTGCGTTTGGCGGAAGGGCGGGCCTGCTTGTTAGTCTTCAAGTGACCGATAGCTACCCACCGACGCCACCATGAGTGAGGTGCGGTTTACCAAATCGCAGCGGGGGAAGGACAAGCTGGTCCTCCACTGCTACATGTACGTGCATCACCGGGACCTGAAGTCAGGAGAAAGCGAGTGGCACTGTGACAAACGTCGCTCGGACATTTGCAACGCCTCGGTCACCCTGGCAGAGGACCGACAGACCGTGGTGAAGGAGTGGGAGCACTCGAACCACCAGGCCGACTGGGGGTGCGTGAAGGCGAAGGAGACCTTCGAGCAGATGCGGGATGACGCCCAAAGTAAGTTTCTATTCTCTGCCGTGGGGTCGGTGACAGTGTGGACGATTCGTTCACGCTGCGCTCTGTGCAGGCTCTCGGGAGACCACCGCGTCCATCGTGCAGCATCACGTCGCCGGCACGTCCCGGGAGGCCGCTGTCAAGCTGCCCAACAAGGCGTCGCTCGCGAGGGGTGGACGACTGGGCGGCTCCTGTGTACAGGGCAAAATGTACTCCAGGTGTTCTCCGATTGTACTCCGACTGTACCTCGTGTACTCCGGCTGTTTTTGTCGCAAGTTCTCCGCGTACTCCGACTGTACTCTGGGTGAACTCCGGTGTACTCCGGGTGTACTCCGGGTGTACTCCGGGTGTACTCCAGGTGTACTCTGCGCGCTCCGACCGGCAATACGTTCTCCGACTGTACTCCGTGTATGTACTCCGTACTCCTGTGTACACGAAAAATTCAAGTCGCCCACCCCTCGGTCGCTCGCCCGTGCCCTCCGTCGAGTCAAGCGGTCATCGCTGCCCGAGGACCCCAAAGACATCGAGGACCTGGTCGTCATCGCTAAGCAGTACCAGAAGCTGGACGGGCAGCGGTGGCTGCTCTTCTTCGATCCAGACGCTGAGG